GCGGCAGCCAGCCCGCCCCGCGCAGCCGCCGGGGGTGCGCCGCCTTCCCCAGCCTCCCTCGGCGCTGCCGGGTGCACGGTAACGACCGCGCCTCTACCATCGTTGCAACCCTTGGACATCAGCAACAGCACGGGTAGGGTGAGTCTGGCGGCAGCCCGCTGATGCCGCATGCCCAAGCCCGAGTCACTCACGGGGCACGTCTACAGGGCATTTACTGCTCCGCAACTTCTCGCAGGTTAAGCGGCTCTTTAGCCAGGTATCTACCCGTGCAGTTGTTAAAGGGCAGTAACGCCACGTCTAAAGTTAGTCCCAAATCAGCCCACACACACACACACACACACACACACACACACACACACACACACGGCGTACCACTGCACGGGAAGGCGTCGTCTACACGTTGGTTACTGCACAGTAATGATTGGGGCGTGAATTTGACACCTGCATCATGCAGGTATCAAATGTCTGCGCAAGTGGGCGTACATCACCATGGTTACTGCGCAGTAGATGCACACCCAGACGCACTACTTTTTGGCTAAATTTGCCTAAATTACCACGCGGTAAGTATGCATGCATAGATGCACCCTGGGAGTCTTAACTGACTTTTGGGCTTGTTATCAGCACTTTCTTATGACTACTTGCTTCAAAATAAAGAAATCCTTCAACTCTGATGACCCAGTTCTCACTCCCTCCCTGACCGCTTACAGTGGGCAATATAAAGTAAACAAGACGCAGACTTAGTTGCATATTTATTTGTATACTTTTTCAGTGCACTATAGTTTTTCAACAAATACGATCATTTTGAGCTTCCAATAGGATAACTTCATATTTAAGACCTGGCAGTGCTGACTTGCCTCAAAACAGACTCATATAGAAGCAAGCCCCAGGCAGGCCCTTCACCCTACAGCTTGAAGGGTGATGACCGGGAATGTGTCCTAGGTGTCCAGGGCTGAGCCAGGTACTCTGCAGGCTAAACACAGACGCATGGCTTAATTCAGGCTTGAGCAAACTACAGACACTGCCGTGGGACGGGACCAGCCCCTTGGGCCAATTAGGCAGCGCTGAGCCAGCCCCAGTTAACTTTGACTTGGAACAATGGCAACTCATTTGAGTTCATTACACCTTCCATGGAAAAAATGCGTCTCATGTGACGTGAAGCATATCCTGGGCCCGTCAACCCCATGTTAAACCAGTTGTCTGTTGTTAGCCCAGGTCCTTAGGGTAGGACAATGGACTTGTCCTTCTGTAGGATCCCAGAAAGGCTTTGTTCCAGGCCTAACCTGGTGTGTTGCCTCCCCCGCACCATGCAGTGGTTTTTAAACATCCTACAGTCACATAACCCTTTCATGTCATTTCTGCTGCTGTGGAGCCTCTGACCCTGTCCGAAAGACTGATGGGACACAGGCCTCCTGGCCCGGCCTCCCTGCTGCTCTGCCATTACCCCAGCTCCCTGATGACTTATTGTGGAAGCCCAGGGCTGGCCAGAGCACAGGCTGAAACCCTCTTCCTTAAGATTTCAAGCTTAAGCCAGCTCAAGTTTAGGCAGAGCTGCCCTTGGAGGAGGAGAAGGGGAAGGGGAAGGGGAAGGGGAAGGGGAAGAGGCTCTCAGACACCCTCTAGTTCCACTGGATTTTGATTAGAAACTGAAGTCAACAGATTCTTTCCAATGACTTTAGGGCATCTGGGAGTAGTAGGTGTTGAAAGCTGAACTCTTAATTAGTTAATTACACAATTAACTTCACAGAATTGAGGGCTTACTCCTCCAAAGTTCAATACAGGAAAGGATTTTAATGGTGGGAGCTTTCTCTCTAGCCTACCTCAATGCTTAATAATTAATTAGTACAAATAGACAGACTCATTTATTAGTTGAAAACCACAGGACTATATTATAACAATAACAGACAACAACAACAACAACAAGGGCGATACAGAAATATGAGAGAGAGAGCAGACCCTTTGCCCACTTGCAACAATGTTTCAGTTGCAGGCACAATCAGCTTAGCTTAACTCTACGCACAATTTTTAAAAAATATATATTTCATGTTCCAGGTCAAATTAGACAAATCCGTTCCAAATCACATCGACTGAACAGAACTCAATCGTTCCAAAATCCAAATCGATTGAGCAGGCAGAACTCAATCGTTCTAAGCACCACGTACGGCCCTACAACCGGTGAGCATCCTCCATCCCAGACCTATCACCCTGGGGCTTCAGACAATCCCATATCCATCGGTAGGCATTGTACGTGCAGGCCCAAGTCCGGAGGTCTTGGGGTTCAGATGCCCCTAGATTTAATTTTATTAGAAAATGAACACTCAATTACTGTACCCACAGTGATCTACCCCAAGGCTCCCACACTCCCAGAAGCTTTTCCCCCTCCTCAGGTACTCAGTCTTCTCTTTTTAAGGGAGCGTGATACTGTACCATTCAAGGGCAATGGCTACTCAGCACTAGTCTGTTGCATTGGGTCCTAAGTTTGTGTCACTGGGGAGCTTCACTCCACCCAGATAACACCCACACAGCGACCAAACTCAGAGTTTCACCCGCTGACCCAAGCTTTCTTACAGACACAACCATAATAGTAACCATTCAGCACATCAAACAACACTTAGTCATGCCTCACAAAGTCTCACTCACACCCAGACTCACACACACATCCACATTCGAATGAATCCTCCCCCCCAACACATACCCTGAGTCTTAGATACAAGCTCTTTTATAAGTTGCAGGGGTACAGGTCATAGCCGTGTTGGTCTAAAGACACAGGCAGACAGGGTTCTTTGGGTAAAGCTGGTATCTTTTATTTGACCAACTCAAATAGTTGGAAAAATTCTTCTTTGCAAGCTTTGGGGTACAAGTAGTCTTCGTCAGGGTACACACCAACTGCAGATGCTTCCTCAGCCTGACGAAGGGTACTTGTGCCTGAAAGCTTGCAAAGAAGAATTTTAGTTGGTCAAATAAAAGCTTTACCCAAAGAACTTCTTATAAGTTCCAGTCACAGCCCCTCTGTCAGCCACGTTCATAACCAACCATTCTCTCAGAGGCGCTGTCACTCGCATGTCAGTCACTGGCTGTTCCCATCTCACCTGATCACCTCATGAAAAGGTACTGAATGCACGTCGACTTCTCACTAGTTTTCGCACAAACACAAGTAACTAAACTGCACATGCTTGGACCTTCAAACTAGGTCATTACCTCATTGAAGGTAAAGAGTTCACCTTTTCCAGAACCTTCTAGACCCTTAGCTCATGGACATGGGCGACTGATGCCACCTGAGTCATGGTCGATCTCGCCAACCAGGAAGCACAAGCAGTGCCCCCGGACATGCCAGCAGCACTTCACCTGGTGCCCCCAATCCTCAGCCGGTGCTCACAGGGGGTGCACCGGCGCTGCTGCCTCCCCCCTGCCTATCACCTAAGCGGGGAGCGCTGCCTGTCAGGGGGTGAACCAGCACTCTCAGAGGGTGCACGTGCATCCCCATGCACCCCCTACACACTGCCACTGCTCGTGGAACATGCGTAACACTACTCTAGCTACATGACTGCTAGCTGAATTACCTATCTGCTACACAAAACTACCAACAGGCCAGGGGATGTACCACCTTGCAGCCTACATAGGTTTGTGTGTGGCATGGGTGACTCAGACCCATTTAACAGGGAGGAACCTAGAGAGGTGGTGGAATTGCCATCCTTCGAGTTTTTAGGGCCTGGTTCAACAAAGCCCTGGCTGAAATGATCTAGTTGGGGATGGTTCTGCCTTGAGCAGGGGGTTGGACTAGATGACCTCCTGAGGTCCCTTCAAACCCTAACTTCCTAAGAGTCTATGATTCTATGACCACCCTACTCCCTACGACAGGCCAGAAAAGAAAGGCTGCTGTTAGGGGCAGACTCCCCAGAAAGACTGCAAAAAAGGAGTAGGTAGAGGAAGAGAGGGGTGTGGAAAGAAAGAATGCTTAGATGGAAGATTTACATGCGTAAATGACATATTTTCTACAGCCTCCTTACAGCAACACTTGTTAACTCACCAGATGAGACTTCTGGTACAACAGACTTCACTACTCAGTCTCAGCCTACTACATAAATGCAAAGGAGAATCCCCTCCCTTTTCCCTCTTTAATACACATACTCCTTTTACCGACCGTGAGATGTCATTGTGGACATTGATTCTACCCTGTTACAATTAAGGTGCTTTTAGGATAAGTTATATAATTAAATTCGTGATTTTCACCAGGGTGCCACAGCACCTCAGGATGTCTTAAGGTCCTTTCAAGGGTGCCACACAATATTAGACAATTAGACACACAAATGGGATGTGCAAGAAAATTCACAAGGAATTCATGGTGCTAAAAGCATTCTGGCCTGTTATGGTCTTTCTGAGTTCTTTGCAACAGAAGAATTGCTCTATTGTTTTTCTGCATTCAAAAAGCAAGTGAAAAATACAAACTGGCATTTTCAGAGGGATGCCTTGAGGCTAGAGGTTGAGAGTTACTGCACTAGATGTTGAAATCCATTCATTTATTATCCTGAGACTATACCACCTCTTTTGGCATTGGGTAGGTTCCCTTGTAGAGTATACATGGCATTTCCGAAGAAGGGTGGGGCTAACAGTTTTTTAAATTAATGTGATTTGTGATACTCCTGTAATGAGCTGGCTTGGTTCACAACCTGTCTGGTTACTGGAGTAAATTTTGTATTTGAATGAATGCAAAAAGGGCTTACTAGAGCTCTGTAGTCATTAAAGAGTACAATTACAGTAAATGAGACTGTGATTTGTGTGGAGGGTTAGTCCTGAAAACAAAGCTCTCTCCAGTACACCAGAATTTAGTTTCATTGACTTTCAAGGTAGCTCTTCCCTGAGAAGCAGTTGTGTGAAAATGGCACACCTCCTCATCCAACAGATCCTTGTGTGCATTTTCATTCCTATGAACACTAAAGAAACAATTTTAAGACAGAGCCAGGATCTA